AAGGCTTCAGACTTTGCTGAATGAAGCAAGCAAGGTAAAAAGAAAACCAGAGACTAAATCAGAACTTAAGAGAAATGGGGAAAACATGCTAGTCAGCACAGCTAGGCAGACGTATCTTAGGGGTCAGTTAGTGTTAACAATTCTTTTTTTGATCTTAAGAATAGACTTGGCAAAAGGATATTGAAGTGACCTAGAAAAGATTTGTGTAAACATTCAGGTATTTATATCCATAAATAACGTTTACAGTGAAGTTTCTGTAATACTGGGCTTGACTGGTGGAACTTTCATTATTACTGAAGCCTGTAAAAATTCTTGCTTTGTCTTCAGAAGCTTAATTTCATTTAAATCTTGTAACCGGAAACAGTAAAAGCATCAATTACCTATTATGCCGTGTGTTTATAGATCTGAAAAGTGTATTCAAATGCCTAACATGATCTTTCTTTCTCCCCTTCCCCCTGTTCTAGGAATTGGCTCTCCGTAGCCAGCTTCCAACAATGGAACAAGACGGTGGATCTCAAAATCCCGTGTCATCTCCTGGAATGTCTCAGGAACTGAGAACAATGACTACAAATAGTTCCGATCCCTTTCTTAACAGGTTTGTAGGAGTAGCTACGAGAGGGGAAAAAAACTGATTTAAAATTCTGTTTGGTACATGTAATAGTTTATTTTGAACATCTGTCTGTGCCAAAAGCCACAGCTGTAAATGAATCTTTCCTTAAATGGCAAGTCTAGTAAAAGTTGAGGATTAAAAGCTGTCTCCTGTGGGAGGAAGTAGTCTGTTCAGACTTGTAGGAAGGTTTTTTATTCAAAGTCATAACATGTTTGCCTCTGCATAATCTGTTGACTAACAGTCATTTCAAATTACTGACTCAGAAGAATTTGTGAATAGCTTGCTATGAGATCAAATGAACTGTGAGGCACATTTAGGACTACACCTTGAGATTCATTTTAAGGTTTCTCCATTCACCCTTCCCCTCCACTTCAGGTATTTAATTTAGCAGTATTTTTACTCTGTTAATGTTAGGTCTGCAAATAGTGGCATGTTTCATTTTAAATGCTGTATTATTTTGAAGTGGGTCTTTTAATTCAAGATTTAGAATTTTACAGTATAGACTAGACTTCTTTGTATAACTTTTTCCTTAATCCCTCTGAGTTGGAGTGCTTGTTTTGTTGGAAATACTGTTCTGATTACAGCTTGCAAATGCTTACAATTCTGGAGAAGCTGCTGCAGCTTGAGATAAGTCGTATCTGTATTTTTTGCTTAGCAAGCTGGAAAGAAAAGATGAAAATGGTAAAAAGGTCAAATCTCAAAGCCACATAAACTTCTAATTGATGAGGTAAAAATCTACTAGCATTTCAGCAGTATCAAATAGTTACCTTAAGTTGGAGTATTTAATTTTGTAGTTCTTCATTGGACTATATTTTGTTAGCATTTTAAACTGATACCAACTTCAGTATCCTCTATCATAGAAGAATTATGTATTCTGTCAGAGTTCATCACTGCTTTTCTGCATTACCTTGGAATGGATGCTTACTGTAAGTGCTGATGAAGTATAACAACATGGTTATCCTTCTCTTTGATGGTACATTATTGTACTCGTGGAAAACCCCATAAAATTCATCTTGATTCTTTCATTGTAAGTCTTAACTTCCGTGGGTTTTGCCACCAATACAATTTCAAACCTGCCCATAAGGTAAGAAGTCCACATCATGTTAGAACTGGCATGATTTTGGAGTCGGGCAAGCTTAAATACCTGCCTTAATTTTAGATACCGAAAACTGTTAAAATCTTTGTAAACCTTGGCTGCGATTATAAATCCCTTCCTGTATTCTTTTAAATAACTTAATGTTGCTAATATCTCACGTTTAGATTCTTCATCGCTAAAGATGTACTATCATTGTATGTACATTTTCCAAGTTATTGATATTCCAGCAGCTTAGCTTAAGTTTGTTTCATTTTCTGCTTGTTCCAGGAGACTTCTCCGTATTTTCATATATTCTGTCCTCACTCTAATTCTCAAAATTAGTAAAGTTCAGTGGAGATTCTGCAAGAACATACCCTCCATCTTGCCAGTGGAATCTGTTGTCATTCATATAGTTTAGGTTATGGAAATAACGTGTTGCTCTTAAGCTTTTTCTCCTACTGCATGATGTATCGTCTGTGCTAGTGCGGTGTGTGCTACTGTGAGAGCAGGAGAAAAGTTTCTGACTCAAGGTACACAGTGCTTTGTATATGTTGGAGAAAACCAAGTTTAAAAAAAAAAACCAGCCTTGCACGTGGAGAAGAAAGTAGTGATGTTTTGTTATTAAACTTCCTAAGGAAGTAAGCAGTATTTCCAAGTTTTGGGTAAGCCTTTCGGGAAGGCTTACCTCCTACAGAGACAAATCTGATTAGAAAACTACCTCTTTTTTTGTTGTTGTTAGAGGGAGGGATTGTCCTCCATGGAATTCATCCTGGGATCTGCTGTGAGCCTTAGCTGTGCTGGCCCTGTCCCAAGGAATAAAAAAGACAAGAAATCTTAAAACTGACCAGCTCTCCTATGAGAAGCCTCTCTATCTAGATGATAGCCTTAATGTGTTACAGTAACATACTAGCTTGAATTTCTGGAAGGCTGCTGCCTTCATACATTGAGCCCAGGAATATTTTGAAATTTGTTCTTAAATGATGTAGAATCCTCGCATCTTCCAGCTCTGTTTTCTGACCTGAAAGAAATGTGTCTTCAGGTTTCAAATAGCCATGGCAGTGGAGTAATGCAGTTTATCCATTGTGAGTCTACACACATAAAATATAAAATGATGGATCTTTACCATTAATTAGAAACAGGACAAAAGCTAGAAAGGGCAAATTCATGTTGTTTGTAATTCTGGAGCAGGTTTATAATTAGCAAGGACTGTTTACTGTAAAGTGCAAAAAGATACTACTTGCCTAGTTGCAAATATGTTTAACTCAGCTCTTTTTTTGTAGCCCTTACCTGTGCAAAATACTGAAAATCTGTACCTGACTTGAGTTCAGAATATCTTAATTTGCATTTTGGTCTGAGCATTGTCCCCTTCTAGGTAATTTTATGTACATCACCATACTTAATTCTGGCATGTGGGTAAGGGAAAAGGATTTTAAAAAAGCATATTTGTGGATGTGCATTGCTATCTCTGAATTAGATACAGCAGTCCAATAGTTTTGCCCTGAAGATCTCCTTGATGTCCCTCATGTTAAAGTTTAGACTTCGATAAATGCTTCTTTCTGTCTTTACAGGTATATATAAAGTTCATGGCAAGATGGTCCTCCTAACTTTAGGTACCAAAGTTGAATATCCAAAGTTTAGGTAGTTGAATATTTTCTACTGCCTACATAATCAGAATATCCAAAAAATCTCAGAAAATAATTGCTACATTGGAGCAATTTGAGAAAACGTACAGTAGTGTTTTCATTTCTGTAGTCCATCTTCTGCCTGCTGTCTTCAGTACTTGCTGTCATTGTGGTATATTTTATTTCTTGAATGGGATATCCAACAATGCCGACTTTATTGGACTATTTCACCTTTTACATGCAGTAATTTTGGGTGGTGTGACTACTAAATGAAGAAATCCTTGTTGAAGAAGGAGGATGTGTATTAAGGAGTGATATGAAGAGAAGGGCTGGACATTCCAAGTGTGAGAGCAGCAGCCAAAAAACCTTCTCAGCTAGAGCCCTGGAGGGAAGGGGGGCCCATGAAAGCTGGTTAATACTCACAGAATCACAGAATCGGTTTGGTTGGAAGAGACCTCTGGGATCATCGAGTCCAACCTTCGCCCTAACACCCCTATGTCAACTAGACGATGGCACTAAGTGCC